CTTTTGATGTACACAAGTTTTTAGTTTAATGAGGTCCCATTTATTGATTCTTGACCTTGTTTTCTGGGCAGTTAATGTCCGGTTTAGAAAATCCTTTCCTAAACCCATGTCTTCTAGGTTATTGCCAATGTTTTAACAGTTTCAGAGTTTCAGGCTTCACATTGAGGCCTTTGATCCATTTGGAGTTGACTTTTGTGCAAGGTGAAAGATAGGGGTTTAGTTTCATTCTTCTACAGGTGGAGATCTAGTTTTGCCAGCACCATTTGCTGAACATGCTGTCTTACCTCCAGTGAATGTTCTTGCCTCCATTGTCAAATATCAGGTGGCTGAAATTGAATGTACTCATATTTGGGTCTTCAGTTTTGTTCCATTGATCAATAGATCTATTTTTGTGCCAGTAACATGTTGTTTTTATGACTATAGCTATGTAATACAGTTTAATATCTGGTATTGTAATCCTCCCAGCATTGCTTTTAGTGCTCAGGGTTGATTTGGCTATCCGAGATCTTTTGTGCTTCCATATGAATCTTAGGATTGTTTTTTCCAATTCTGTGAAAAACGTCATGGGGATTTTGATTGGCATTGCATTGAATCTCTGAATGGCTGTTAGTAGGATAGTAATTTTCACAATATTAATTCTTCCAATCCATGAGCATGGGAGGTCCTTCCATCTTCTGATTTCTTCCTCAATCTTGTTCTTTATGGAATTAAAATTTTCTTTGTAGAGGTCTTTAATGTCTTTGATAAAGTTTTTTCCCAGATATTTTATTTTGTTTGCAGCTATTGTGAAGGGGAGTGTTTCCTTGTACTCTTTCTCTGATTGCTTGTTATTGGTATATAGAAAGGCTGCAGACTTTTGTAGGTTAATTTTGTAACCTGCCACTTTACTGAACTTGTTAATAATTTCTAAGAGTTTTCTGGTTGAATTTTTGGCATCTCTTAGCTATAATCTCCTATCATCTGCAAAAAGGGATCATTGGATCTCTTGCCTTCCAATTATTTCTCCTTTAATTTCAAGCTCTTGTCTTCTTGTTCTTGCAAGAGTTTCAAGGACCATGTTAAAGAGAAGTGGAGATAGTGGACACCCATGTGTGGGTGATCAAGTCAGTTTTTCTCCATTTAGAATGATGTTGGCTGTGAGCTTGTTATATATGGCTTTAACTATCTTGAGGTATGTTCCCTCCAGTCCATTCTCTCTAGGACTTTGATCATAAATGTATGTTGAATTTTGTCAAAGGCCTTCTGTGCATTTATTGAGATGACCATGTGGTTCTTGTCTTTGAGCCCATTTATGATTTATGACGTTTACTCATGTATGTTGAACCATCCCTGCATCTCTGGAATAAAACTGACTTGATCATGGTGGATGATCTTTTTGATATGTGTCTGTATGCAGTTTGTAAGTATCTTGTTGAAAATTTTTGCATCTATATTCGTTAAAGATATGGGTCTATAGTTTTCTTTCTTGTTTGTATCTTTACCTGGCTTTGTTATTAGAGTGATGCTGGCTTCATAGAAGGAATTTGGAAGTTCTCCCTCCATTTCTATCTTTTTGAATAACTTAGGTAGTATTGGATGTAGATATTCTTTAAATTTCTGCTAGAATTCTGCTGTAAATCCATCTTGTCCTGGGCCTTTTTTTTTGGGGGGGGAGCTTTTGTATTGTTTCAGTTTCCTTATGTGTTATGGGTCTGTTTAAGCTGTTAATCTCTTCTTGGTTTAGCTTTGGTGGTTCCCTTGCTTTTGGGTACCTGTCCATTTCTTTCAGGTTTTCAAATTTAGTAGCATATTGGTTTTTAAAGTATTCCCTTATAATGTTCTGGATCTCTTTGGTGTTTGTTGTGATGTTTCCCCTTTCATCTCTGATTTTGTTGATTTGGAGGTGCTCTATCTTTCTTTTGGTTAACTGGGATAGCAGTCTGTCAATCTTGTTTATCTTCTCAAAAATTCAGCTCTTCAATTCGTTCTTTGTATTGTTTTCTCTGTTTCTATTTCATTAATTTCTGCTCTGATTTTTGTTATTTCTTCTTATTTGCTGGGTTTGGGTTTCATTTGCTGTTTTTTTTTCCAAGTGTCTTGAGTTGCAATGTTAAGTCATTTATTTGTCATCTTTCTGATTTTTCTAACATAGGCACTTAGAGCTATAAACTTCCCTCTAAGGACTGCTTTCAGTATGTCCCAGAGGTTTTGTTGTGTTGTATTGTCCCTTTTTTGTTTCCAGGAATGCTTTCATTTCTTTCTTAATTTCTCCTTTGACCCATTCATCATTCAGGAGTGTGTTGTTTAATCTCCATGTTTTCATGTGGTTACTGGGGATTCTTCTGGTGTTGATTGTAAGCTTTATTGCATTGTGGTCTGATTGTATGCATGGGATTATTTCAGTGTTTTTGTATTTGTTGAGGCTTGTTTTGTGCCCCAGTACATGGTCGGTTTTGGAGAAGGTTCCATGGGTCGCTGAATAGAAAGTATATTCTTTGGTGCTTGCATGGAATATTCTGTAGATGCCTTTTTAGGTCCATTTGATATATGGTATTGTTTAATTCTGATGTCTCTCTGTTAATTCTCTGTCCTGTTAACTTATCTAATGGTGAATATGGGGTATTGAAGTCCCCTACTATTAATGAGTTGGGATTAATCTGGGTCTTACAGTCCTGTAGAACTGTTTTTATGAAGTTGAGTGTACCAGAATTTGGTGAATATATGTTCATGATTGTATTATCTTCTTGGTTTATTGTTCCTTTGATCAGAATGAAATGACCTTCTTTGTCTCTTCTGACTAGTTTTAGTTTAAAGTCTATTTTTTCAGATACTAGAATTGCAATGCCTTCTTTTTTTGTTAGTACCATTCACTTGGTATATTTTTTTTTTCCGTCCTTTCACCTTATGGTATTGCCTGTCCTTGAAAGTGAGATGAGTTTCTTGTAGACAAGAAAAAGGTAGATTTTGTTTCTTAATCCATTCAACTAGTCTGTATCTTTTGACTGGGGAGTTCAGTCCATAGATATTTAAAGTTATTAGGGAAAGATATGTATTGAATCTTGGCATTTTTATTTCTGTTAACATTCTTGAGATAGCTGTGCATTTCCACAATTATACCTTCATTGAATTTCTTTCCATCACCCCTTTTGTATAGCCGTTCTTTTCTTCAGCTCTTTATATTGTTTCAAGAACTCTCTGAAGGGCTGGTTTTATGGGCATGAATTCTTTCAGCCTCTTTATATCATGGAAGATTTTTCTTTCCCCTTCAACTAATATAGACATTTTGTCTGGGTAAAGTAATCTGGGGTGGCGTCTGTGGTCATTTAGAGCTGGGAATACTTTCGTTCAGGCTCTTCTGGCTTTCATAGTTTGCACTGAAGTCAGCTGTAATCCTGATGGGTTTTCCTTTATATGTTATTTGTTGTTTTTCTTTTGCAGCTTTCAGTATTGTCTCTTTGTTCTGAATGTTTAGTGTTTTTACTTTGATGTGCCATGGAGAGTTTCTTTTCTGGTTCTGTCTGTTTGTTGTTCTATATGCTTCTTGTATTTGTATGGGCATGTCTTTTTTTAATTTTGGGAAATTTTCTTCCACAGTCCTGTTAAAGATATGTTCCATACATCTTGAGATTCTTCTCTTTCCTATATGCCTGTGATTCATTAAGTTTGGTTTTTTTATGGTGTCACACAATTCCTGCATATTCCATTCTTGTGATTTCTTAAATTTTTCATAATCTTTGCTTGAGTGGTCTTGTTTGTCCACTTTATCTTCCAGTCTTGATATTCTGTTTTCCATTTCATTTATCCTATTGGTGAGGCTTTCTCCTGTCCTTTCTAATTGGCTTAGTGTGTGTTTCACTTCCTCCTTCATTTCACGCTGAGTGCTCTTCAGTATTTCTCAATATTTCTAACTCTTTTCTGAAATCATTCAGAAGTTTATCCCTATCTTCCTTCAGTTCTTTCATTTCTTTTTGTGTTCTTTAAATTCACTGAATTCTTCTATCATGTTTATAATTGCTCTTTTGAGTTCCATGTCCTGTGTTATCTCTAGGGACTTCTCGTACTCCTGTAGAGGACCATTGGTACTTGGTGGGGATCTATTATTTTGTTTTTTCATGTTATTTTTCCTTTGTGATTTTGACACGTGAATTTCCTTCGTAGTTTCTGATTCTTGTGTGAGACTCAAGCCTTCCTTTGTTGAGTTTAGATCTGCCTCTTTTTATAAACTTTATATGCCTTTGTGGTTTACTTGTTGGGCATGAAAAGCTGGTTGGTCTAGGCTTCGGGTTCTTTCTTTTGATTTTGTATTGGAGTGGCCTAATTGCTTTTGTCTTCCGGAGTTCCCACAGTGGCCCAAGTGAGATGAGGCTCAGGTGCTCTCAGGCTTTCTCCTAAGGTATGGGTCCCTCCAGGAAAGATGCTGCCCTCAAGAATTTGGGGGCTGGGCTGGCCTGGGAGAAGAATCCAGGATACATGCTGGTCTCTGGAAGCTGGTGCCTGTGCCACCCAGGGAAGTAAAGGGAGATGAGGGTGGGACCAAGCCTAGAGGGTTCCTGGGGGCCCACAGGCAGGAACTGGGTTGGTTCCTATGCAAAAGGATCAGGAAGCAGTGGTGGCTCTGGGCTGAGAGGTTAGCCCCGGTGTCTGGGGTGCCAAGACAAGAAATGGGCCTGTACCCAGCCTAGGAGGAGAGACTTGGAGTGGGGAGCTGGGAGGGTGAAAGAGGCTTGGGGAGTCAAGATGTGCTGGGTGCACTTTGACTTACCCAGGGAAGGTGCTGGTACCAGGACACTGGAGGCTGTGCAGCCCAGGAAGCAAAGGGATATGAGAGCGGGACCTGGTCCAGAGGGCTCCTAGGGACCAGGAAAGGTTGCTGGCACCAGGCCGTCCAGAGGCTGTGCAGCCCAGGGAAGTAAAGGAAGGTCGGATGTTTTTTGTTTTCTGTTTTTATTGTAAAGAAAAGGTAGGATAAATTGAGTATTACAACTTCACACTGATGGCGTTTCATTGTGTTTGTCTTTCAGGGACTCATTCACTACTTCACTGTTAGAACAGATGCGAGAAAGTTCCTGCCACACATTGAGGATTTCTTCCTTTGCACGTATTTTCCCCCTGCTTACTGCATAACTTTCTTGGAATTTCCTTTTTTGGTGCCATGTTCTGTGGCTTACATCAAAAGAGGAGTTTGTCTTCATGAAGATTCCTAACATTGGTAATGTGATGAATAAATTTGAGATCCTTGGGGTTGTAGGTGAAGGTAAGTTGGAATTTCACATCATTTGAAATTTGGAGCAATGTATAATTATATCTACCATCAAAACCTTGACTTACTCAAATCCTCTTACTTTAACATATCAATTCAGATATGCATCTCAGTATACAATGGTAAAAATAAATTCCTCTTCAACTATTTGGGTCCTACTCTCTGATTGAAAATCAATATCATTTTAGAATACTTTAAAGTTTAATAGTTAGCAGTTTTTAAAATACTGTCCTGTAGAGCTGGAGAGATGGCTCAGTGATTAAAAGTACTGGCTGCTCTTGTAGAGGACCAGGGTTTGAGGCCCAACACCCATATAGTGGCTAACAACTCCAGTCCAGGGGATATGACACCTTCTTCTTCACTGTGGGCATTGCCCAACACGGGTGCACTTACATACATGCAGGCAATACACTCATCCACATAAAATAAAAATAAATAAAATATTTTTTAAAAGTATTGTCTTGTAATACCATTCTTTTCACTAGCATGGTTTCCTTGTTGATACTGCTATAGTTTATATCATCTAAGGTTATTTTAAATAACTTAAATTGATTTGTATATGCTAAATGTTACTTACTATATGGTAAAGAAATGTACAAATAATTTCTCTTTCTTTGAGAATTACAAACCATGGTTTATAAGTTTTCAGGCATACAGTTTGGTTATATTTTAACATCTTAAATCAGGATACCTGTCAGTGGATTTAATGCCATTAGCTTTTCTTTCCTTGCAGTGCATAATATAATGCTTTCATAACCAAAGATGATAGTGATTTGATAAAAAGCATAATTCATTTCTTTTGAATTTCATTTCACTCAAATTTCAAAAGTTTTACATGAGCAGCAAAGTTCTTCAAGATTTTAATGTTAGGTTGGCCAGTCCTTTTCAAATAACTTGAAACAGTTAAGTTACAGTCCAGTTATTACATGCTTGTTTCAAGGTCTGAAGTTCAAACCATACAAAACAATGATCTTTCTTCCTCCACTGGTTAACTCTTCAATTTCTTCATTGATATTATATAAATGAAATTTATTTTCAATCTCTTACTACTGTTTTATAAAACCTACCTCTTCAGATTGCTGAGATAGCCTATCAGGTAAAGGTTCTTGCCACCAACCCCAGTGACCTAAATTCTACCCTCGGACCCCCATGGCAGAAAGAGAAACAACTCCATAAAGTCCTCCAACCTCCACACTGGCACTGTGGCATATGTGCATGTCCTCACCACACACACAGTAATAAATAACTGGAAAACCCCCCCGCTTTTCCAAAGTTTATTTTTGAAAGCTATTGCAGTTATAGGTTTATGCAATAAAGGGAGATGATCAGCATGTAGGGTGTAACAAGGTTGGAATGTTCTAAAGCTTGGGTCTGGCTTGGTCTGGATCACAACCACCTCTTTCTAAGTAACTATGGAGATAATCTTCTTAGATATTGACTCAGATTAGCCAAAATTGCAAGACCATTCTATGTAAATTAGAATCTGTTAGTTTATGTTACAATCAGACATTATTGTGTGGTTTTTAGGTAGGAAATGCATCTGTCTAGCATACATTCCTATAGCCTAGATGGTACATTTTCACCTTATAGAAAAGGTGTCATGCATTGGATGTTTCCAGGTGATTGTGGAGTTAAGTTACATGGTTCTTACTGCTGGTTATGACTGTCATCCCTCTGCACCAAAGTGAAGGAACTACTTTTAGGAGTCGTAGACTCTGCTAGAGACATATTTCCCAATTCGGTCTCATTGAAACCCATCTCCTCATAGTTGCGTGTGGGTTTTGCCTATTTGGAGATGAAATGTTCTTAGTATTTCTTCAGAGCTCCGCTATCATGCACACGTGATGTCTTGATTCTTTTTGTTGTTGTTTTTGTTTTGAGACAGTAGCTCCCTATAGTCCCAGCTGGACTGGAATTTGCTATGTAGACCAGGTTGGCCTCAATCTCACAGAGATCCACCTGTGTATGCCCCTGAGTGCTGGGATTACAGGCGTAAGCCACCATGCCAGACTGTCTGGGGTCCTTTTTTTTTTTTTGGTCTTTTTGAGATAGGGTCTCCCTGTAGCCCCAACTGTCCTGGAACTCACTATGTAGACCAGGCTGGCCTTGAACTCACAGAGATCCATCTGCTTCTACCTCCCAAATGCTGGGATTAAAGGCATGTGTCACCACACCCAGCTGCCTGGGGTCTTTTAACTAGATTTTTCACCTTATAACTTTAACCTCAGTTTCCTGAGTACTAACCCAGCAAGCCTTCTTAGTCTACCTCTAAGAAACTAAGATTATCACCACTATAATAGGATAAGTAATGAAAACTACAAGAGTAGATCATGTCAAAATAAATCAGAGATAGTGTGCGTGCTCAGAGCCTATACCATAAAGCTGAACTTCAGTGGTAGAAAGGTAGCAACTCTTGCTAATCATTTAATTGGATTACCAAGACTGGTATTGGGAGGGTGCCAGGGATAGAACCCAGGACCTTATGCATGGGAGGTAAGCACTCTACCATGTGTTACACCCCTACCTCCAACACACACACACACACACACACACACACACACACACGTATATATATTATTATTATATATAGTATGTGTATATACTATTTTTCCAGTTAGAAAAGCTATTCAAGTGTTCTGGAAGAAGATGTCTATGACTACAAGGACAGACAAAATATTTGGGTAGACGCTGTGTTTGCTGCTGTGTGACCCTGGTTGGCCTGGTACATACTCACTATGTAGTCCCCACTAACCTCAAACGTCAGTCTCAAAAGAGTTGGGATTTCAGGCATGCACCACCATAGCTAGCTCACACTGCCTCAGAATCTCATCTTGCTTAAATTAACAAATGTATAAATGTATGTAGTAAAAATTTTCTTTTAAAAGAGAAACATTTCAAAATACTTGTTGGGGGCAATGACTTGTCTATACCCTTAGTTCACAAAAAACAAAGTGAACAATCCATGCTCTTTTTGAATGTGGCTTGTTATGATATCTCTCTAGAATATTGTCATAGATAGCATTATTATAGCAAAATACTCGTAAGCAATATAAATAGAGAACTGTACTTTGTGTACAGACCTATGATTGTTTCCTTCTTTTTTTATTATAGGAGCCTATGGAGTTGTACTTAAATGCAGACACAAGGCAAGTACATGATTTTCTACAAGGAAAAACAAATCTATGTTTAAACTGTTTTGAAACTAATGCAGTGCTTTGTATATATGGTCATATAATTAAAATTGTATCGTTATGGTTATGACTCCTAATGAAAAGAGTTTATATGTGAACTCAGAAATGGCAACTTTGGGGATAAACTTGATCATGGTAAGTAATCATTAGCTTTTTGCAGTCACATGCTTTTTATTTTGGTCACTATGTAGAGGTGAAAAGTTGTGTAATTAGAAGAAAAGGTGACAGGATAAAAAGAAGGAAGCAAGACAGTGGTGGATTAAATTTATATTCAGGTACTGAGGAGCAAGGGGGAATTTTGTTATGTGTTTTTCGTGTAGAACCAGTTGATTACTTCATGTATTTGAGCCCAGATTTTGAAGTTTGGGAGTAGATGTTTAGGTATGTATTGGGATTTGGGATAATAGTGTACTGGCTATAGTTGATCATTCTTACAATCAATCTTTTTATAGGTTTCTTACTATAGTAATCATAAATTATTTAGAAAAGTTATTTGAAATTTCCATAGCTGTTGCCAAGAGGTGAACATGTCTTGCTCAAAGACTATAAATTTAAGATGATGAGTATTTAAATGGAAACAATTTTAGACGTTTGGTTAAATATTTTTCTATTATGATGCATCTAGTCTGAGTATTACTATTTGGCCTCGTGTTATTTTGCATGCATTTTAAACCCAAGTTTTTAAGGGTTTGTGATTTTTATAGCAATAAACAGTTTGAGTCTGAGATGAGTTTAGCAATTTAACTCAAAACATATCAACTTTCAAATCTATCTTCTATCAATAGTATTTATATACCTACAAATAAAGATAGTTCTTATGTTGGCTTTTCTTTTTTATGAATACTTGCTACCTTTTCAATTCAAATGTCCTTGACAGTATGTTTTTTGTTTAGCATCACAGATGTACTTTAATACAATGACTTTTTGTTTCTTGAGTTTGGATGTTTGAATTATTTTTATGTTGACAAGTTATCTGCACATCTTGTCAGTAAATCCTCAAAAATTGTTTGAATGCTACTTTCTCTTGATTAAGGATGATTCAGAATTTAAAATAAATGCAATCAAAATAAATTTAGTACCTTGCACATCTCATTAAGAAATATCACTGCAGTTTGAAATTAAACAAATGGAAAGCTCCCTAATGAAATGTTTTTCTTTTAATGAGTTGCCTTGAGTTACATGTCTAAAGCTTAAAAAAAAGAATTCCTGGGTGGATATTACTTGTGAAAAATAGGTTGTTAGTTTCCAAGTTAAATTTGACGCTTTTGTGAACATAATACCTGTCTTTATGCTATGGCTTTTTTGTATACTACTGCAAATGGGAACTTCAGTTCTTAGTGGTTAGTTTGGTTTCTTAAAAATTATTTATTATTCTCATTTGAGACACACCCTCAGGTATCCCAGGTTGGCCTCAAACTCTTTGTGTAGCCAAGAATGACCTTGAACTTCTGATCATCCTTCCTCTGCCTCCAAAGTGTTGAAATTACAGGTGTGTGCCACCATGCCCAGTTTATGCAGTGTATATCTTATATATATTTCTATACATTTCAAGTAGTTCAGATATTTTCTCCTGATCTTTGTCACTCTTTGACCTGTTCCCCCTTCTCTATCTTTTGATCTTTTGTTTTATTTTGTTTTTGAGAGAGGATTTCATGTACTCAGGCTGGTCTTAAATTCTCTGTGTAGCTGAGAATCACCTCCTCATCCTTCTGTTTCCACCTCCTAAGTGCTAGGATTTACAGGTATGCCACATGGCCCATTTCCTTGTGCTGTTGATTGAACCCGGGTCTTAATCTATGGTAGGCAAGCCCTCTACCAGCTGAGCTATACCCCTGGCCCGCATATATTGCTTTTGTCTTTCCATTTACTTATTTGCTAAGATACTGTTGTTAACATATACTTGGTTTTCATAATATTTAGTACCAGCAAGATAGACCTGAAGGAAAGTGGATTGGGAGTGGTTATCTTCTGCTCTTGGAAAAACAATTCTGAATGTGAATTCTTGATTCCTAGTGGCTATCTGTATTAGTTACTTTTCTATTGCTGTGATAGAAACACTGACAAAAGCAACTTATAGAAGGAAACATTTATTTGAGCTTATGGTTTCAGGGGAATTACAGTCCTTCATGACGGGGAGGCATGGTGGCAGGAGGTGGCTGGAAGAGGAGCAGAAAGCAGAGGGCTCACATCTTCAAGCAGGCACAGGACGCAAGAGAGCAACTCAAGATCTGGCAAAGCTTAAGAACTCTCTAAGCCTGCCCCCAGTGACCTGCTTCCTCCAGGATAGCCACACCTTCCCAGACCTCCCAAAATAGCTCCACCAACTAGGGACTGAATGTCCCAACACTTGGAGCCTATGGGGGACATTCTCAATCAAACTATCACACATTTATGTATAGGGCATTTAGGGTTACAAGGATGAATAAATCATAACCTTCTTACCCTAAATTTGGCTTATGGTCTGTCTGAAAAGATTAAAGAATAGACACTTAATAAAAGAATGTGAGGTTGGGCCTCTTAGCAACATCCTCCATCCTAAGGCCAAAAATGTCAAAAGTATTTGGGAGCTCTTATTTAATCATTAAAAGATTTTAGGGTTACCTCTTCAGAGGGGGGAATGTTAGAGTAGTAAAAAGCCCCATTAAAAAAAGAAGAAACACTACATGAAGTTATCAGAAAAAAAGTGATGAGGAGATATGGGAGGAGTTGGAGGGGAGAGAGTGGGCATGGATTTGATCCAAACACCTTATGTGCATGTATGAAATTCTCAATAAATTATTTTTTAAAAAAGAACATGATGTTACTGAAAATGAAATAAAATATTGCTGGGTGTGATGGTACACTTTTAATCTCAGCACTTGGGAGCTAGAGGCTAGAGGATCAGGAGTTCAAGGCCAACCAGCCTGGGCTTGCATCTAAAATTGCTTTTCTCATTGTTCATTAAATGAGAGTCTCAGACCACCATTAAAAGTATTCTTGCTTTTTCCTTTCATGCATCTAAAAAGATGTCACAGGATGGAAATTTTAAAGCATAAATTAGTACCTAACTCAGAATAATATGAAACTCTTTTTAGCATCTGCAGCTGTTTAGTCATTTGACTTGTTATAGTATATCCTTTTCCCTGCTAAAATCAAACTTTCAGATGTATGTTCCATTATGCAGAAATAGAGAATTTGATGCTTCTTGTAGGATTTATGCTTTAGGATCAAATGAATAGATTACTGTGGATTTGTATTATATGGAAATGTACATATCACCCATTTTGTTGTGTTCATTATACACAAAGTAATTGTGCCAATATAGTTACATATCTTAAACATTTTAGTAAAATACTAAAAATGTATATATTAGGTCTTTATGATAACTTATACATAGGTCTGTTTCTGAAGCATAGGTTGTTGTTGTTATTAAAAAGTTAGATGTGGGTATATGTATTATTAAATAAGTCACTGAGCAAATATAAAGTCACTTTTAATCTATATACTGTTAAGAGCATAGAGGTCAGATTTATAAACATAGTATATCATGTCTTTGTGAACATAGTATGATGGGCTATTTCAGGCCAAAGACTATACTTTTATTTACATATTTTACACTTATTTATTTGTTCGTTTGGGTTGTGTGGTGTGGTGTTTGTGTATGGGTGCCACTTACCATGGTGTGCATGTGGAAGTCAGAATACAGAGTTGGTTTTGTCCTTCCAGTGTATGGATTCTGGGGACTGAATTCAGGTTGACAGACTTGATGACCATGCCTTTACCTGCTGAAATGTCTTGCTAGCCCAAGATTATATTTCTTAACTTACTGAAATAAATGTTGCAGCCAGGCATGGTGGCACACGCCTTTGGGAGGCAGAGGCAAGTGGATCTCTGTGAGTTGAAGGTCAGTCTGGTGTACATAGCAAGTTGCAGGCCAGCTGGAGCTACAGGGAGACCCTGTCTCAAAAAGACCCCTAAGATAAAGAAAGAAAAGAAATGTAGAAATGTTGCCCTTTAAAATATAGCTTGTGCCTTTTTGACAGCTCTGTTATATGTATACATTGACATATATATGAGAAACCTTAGCAATAACTACTAAGCTTCTGTTTATAATGCCTTGTGACTACTCATTTGCAAGATATTCTGTTTTGGACCTTTACCCCACATAGATACATTGGTGATTTTCTTTTCTTTTCTTTTTTTTTTTTTTTTTTTTTTTTTTTTGTGGCCTTTTCCCCCACTTAAATAATTTTGTTTTTTTTTTTTTTTTTTTTTTTTTTTTTTTTTTTTTTTGTATGTACATGATTTTTCTCCCTCTTTTTCTCTGTGCAGGGGATAAAACCTGGGCCTTGTGCATGCTAGGGCAAGCTTTTAGGCCTATGTGAAAGGGTAGCATATTTTACAGGACACTCTTTTTTAAGAGAAGTCCAAAAGGTCATGCTTACAAAGTAAGGTCAATAGAGTGAGGTCAGAATAGGGAGATCCAGGACTGGAGATGAAGCTCAGTGGTGTAGTACTTGTCCAGCATGCACAAGGCCCTGGTTTAACACCACCAGAGGGGGCATGTTAGAAGTTGTACACAGATTGGAGGGTACTGCTCATTGGGGCCTAGGATAGGTTCCATTTGGTTCTTTTCCTGTGGCTGCCTTGACCTATGAGAATTTTCTTTTTGAATTAGTAATGCTCTTGAGAAAGAATGCCATGAACGACTTAGTGTTGTAGGACACCCTGTAAGTGCTGAATAAGAAGTAGTATTGACTTAGATCAGAGAACAAAAAAGACACAATATTAGAGCTGTTATGGAATAACAGAGGCTTGTTCCAAACAAAGGAATCCAAGGTAATCCCAAGAATTTGAATATTGTAAGCTGAAAAAGCATTGGTGTTGTTTATCTTACCACAAAACTTGTACAAAAGATGTATGAAAATGGAAGAAATAATGAGTTTAATTTTAATGATAAAGAGTAAAAATGGCAA